ACACTCTGCACCCGTGTCTGCAGGCTCTGGAGAGAGGGGTAGAATTTGGGGAGGAAGGCGGAGGGAAGGAGCTGAGGTTTGGCTCTCGTTAGCCCGCACTTCCCCAAACAGCCCTGACACACAGTCAGCAGCTCTTCAAGCTGCCGAGGGGAGATAAAAGGAAACAACGACAGACAGCCCTGGAGCAGGAGGAGGAGGAGGAGGAGGAGGAGGAGTTGGGTTCTCAGGCCCTCTCTGTGCTCCAGTTCTGCCTTTGGGAGCTCTGTCTGTCCCAAACACGTGTGTCCCCCCCGACCCACCCCGGCCAACCCCCCCCTCGGGCTGCCCTGGCCGGTGCAGGGGGGGTTGGTTCTCCCAGGGATTGCCGGATTTCTCGCAGGGACAGGCGAGCTCAGCTGACTCAGCGTGGCCCCGGGACGGCTGCCAGGGCTGGGCCACGTCTGTGCTCCCAGAGCCCTCCCAGAGCCCTCCCAGAGCCCTCCCAGAGCCCTCCCAGTGCCTGCAGGAGCTGCCCCGGGAACACCCCCCCCGGACAGCAGGACCTTTGGGGAGGTTGTGCTGGGGGGTGTGAAGGTCCCACCACAGCAGCTGGGGGATCCCAGGATTGCTGAGCTTGGAAAAGACCTTCAAAATCATCGAGTCCACCCTCTACCCCGTCCCCACCTTGTCCCCCAACCCAGAGCACTCAGAGCCACATCCAGTCCTTCCTTGGACACCTCCAGGGCTGGGGACTCCAAACCTCCCTGGGCAGCCCCTTCCAATGCCTGACCACCCTTTCCATGGAGAAATTCCTCCTGGGGTCCAGCCTGACCCTCCCCTGGCACAGCTTGAGGCCGTTTCCCCTTGTCCTGTTGTTCCCTGGGAGCAGAGCCCGACCCCTCTTGGCTCCCCCCTCCTGTCAGGGAGTTGTGGGGAGCACCAGGGATAAGAAAGACCCTCCCCTCCCACACCTGGAAATGGGGCTCATCAGAAGACAACCTCATTTTTGGGTTTTGCTCCTCCTGGCTGCAGGTTCAGCCCAGCCCCAGCACAGAAGGTTCCCAGGTGTCTGCACTCTGCCCCCCCCCCCAAACCCTTCCTCTGTCCCCGGGGCTGAGAACTGCTCTGATCCCCCCAAAAACAAGGGGCTCTGCCCCTGTGGTTCTTTGGGATGGACTGCAAGGCATTTTTGGGGTTTTCAGACGGGGGGGGCACCGCAGGCTGCCAGAGGGTTTGAGGTGATTTTCCTCTGCGTCCAAGAGCAGAGAGGCTCCTTCCCCTGACAGGGAAATGAATGTCCCTGCAAAGAGAAGCTGCAGAGAGTGAGAGGAGGTGCAGGCTGGGGAACAGCACGTGGACTTCCCAGAGGTGCCCTTGACTGAACCCCATCCAGGAGCACCAAGGCGGGCGCAGTTAATGAGGACCAAGTTCAGCCTCCCCAGCACGTTCCAGCTGCTGCCTCGAGTAGTGAAAGACTTTTCTCCCGATTTCTATTCGCTATTTGTGCCACTTGGAGTGCTTTGAACTCGGCCTCACCTACCCAATCTCCCTCAAAACTCGTGCCTGGGTTTCAGCCCTGCTCCGTCGTCGCTCGGGAACAGAAAATAGGGCAGAAATTTTGATATAAATTCAGGGAGTGATGGCTCTAAAAGCTTCCCCCCCTGCACAGCAAACACGGGGAGTGATGGCTCTAAAAGCTTCCCCCTGCACAGCAAAACACCAGGTTTCTCCTCCCTGGTCCTGCAGCAGAGGGTGGGGGCAGGTGAGCAGGATGTGTGGGGTAATTCGGTGAGCTCGGTGGGCAGGTCACAGGCAGAGGAGAGAATTACTGAGGACAAACAGATAAATACGTGGATCTCCGGGGGGAAAACCCTCCAGACTGCACAGAAAAGCAGAGAACAGGGACAAAGCCCGAGTCCAAGTGCAGTCAGGAGGAGACCCCTCCCCACACCCGGAGCAGGAGCTGTTGAGCAAAGGCATTCCATTCTCCCGGATTTCCCCACGGGAGAGCTGCTCCGTCCCTCTGATCACCTCGGGGCCTCCTCTGGGCTCCTCCCAACAGCTCCGCGTCCCTGCTGTGCTGGGTGGAGTCACCCAGGTGGGGTGTCACCTGTCACCCAGGTGGGGTGTCACCCGAGCAGGGCAGAGGGGCAGTGTCCCCCTTCCCCTGGGAGGGAGGTGGCCCAGCCCTTGCCACGACTCGGCCTCTGCAGTGGCACCAGGTTATTCTGGAAGATGCCCGTGCAGGGAGCAGGAGGGCACCCAAGGACAGCGGGGACATCCAGTGACATCCCTGCTCAGACTGCAGTGGTGCTTGGGCTCAGTCCTCGCCAGGCTCTGGCACCTCCCGTGCCCCCTGTTCCCCTCTGGGCAAAACGTGGTGCCGGTGCAGGGACTGAATCGGTGCCATCTGTCCCTCCTTGGCACAGGGGGGGCTTTCTCCGGGGTCCTGGCCGTGTCCCAGCCTGGCCAGGTCCCTCCCCCAGCCCCGGTGCCTCTGCCCTGCCCATCTCTGCTCTGCTGAGACCGTAAATTAAGAGGACAAATAACGATTTGCTCTCCTGGCACTGGTGAAATAAGCAGCTATTCATGAAGAAATCAATTCGGAGGCTGCTGAGAGGGGAAATAATATAAGAATAGAGGTGGAAATGAGACCAGTGTGCAGTTTTACATCCTCTCCTAAACGACCACTGAGTCAGACACCGGGAGCAAATGGGAAGCGACTGATCCGTACCCTGTGTCTGTGTGTCCTCCCCAAAACCCCTCCGGGACCTTCCTCCAGCTTCCCTGCGAGGAGAGGCCACAAGAGGAGGGTTTTTGCTCAGGCAGCATCCCGGAGCCAGGTGCTTTGCCGGCGCGTGGGAATGGGGGAATTAGTTAAATCATCCCCTCTTTTCCTTTTCAACTGCTTGGCTTCGCTGCCGCTGGAGCGTTAAGGGATATCCACCCGGTCATTTTTAAGCTCTCAGGGGGGCCGTGGGATGCTGAATTTTGCCCTTCCCTCCCCCCCACTGTGCTGGCAGGGATGAGACCTGGATCCCTTCCAGTTGCCATCAGGCACTTGCCGAGCGCTGTCTGTGCCTCGGCCAGATCTTTGTCCTTCCAGTCGTTTGCTTTTGGTTTTTTCCTTAATTATCTGCGAAGGACAGCCCTTGGAGGGGGGATGTGAGTGGTTTTATTTACACGTGGCCTTTTCTTCGCCGCCGGGGCCGTATTGTGGTGGGGACTCCCAGCTGGGAGCAGGAAAAGAGGAGTCAGCGTTTCGGGAGATTCCAGCGCCGCTCTTAAAACGCGGGGGGGGGAGAAGGGAGGGAGGGAGAAGAGGGTTGTAACGGGAGAGGGAACATGACAGCTCCAATCCCGGGCACTTCCAGGGCTATTTTTAAACGCTTTTGTAGCGGTTTGGAGGGCGGGCAGGATGCAGGTGGGTGCTCCTCGTGCTGACAGGTCTGGCTGTCACCTCCCGTGGTGTCCCCGTGCTGGGCATCCCTCCGTGTCCCTCTGTCCCTCTGTCCTTCCCTGCCCGAGCCTCTCGGCTCTGGCAAACCCTGATGAACTGAGAGGGGGGTTAAATGGGATATTGGGAAGGAATTCCCACCTGGGAGGGTAGGGAGGGGCTGGGATGGATTTCCCAGAGAAGCTGTGGCTGCCCCAGCCCTGGGAGTGACCCAGGCCAGGCTGGAGCAACCTGGGAGAGTGGGAGGTGTCCCTGCCCGTGGGATCATGGCATGATCTTCAAGGTCCCTTCCCACCCAAACCATTCCGGGATTCCAAAGTCATCACATTTCCTGAACCAGCTCTGACTTCTCTGAGTTGTGCCCTGGGGTTTTCAGCTTTCCTGGGATTTTCAGCTTTCCTGGGGTTTTCAGCTTTCCTGGGGTTTTCAGCTTTCCTGGGTTTTTCAGCTTTCCTGGGTTTTTCAGCTTCCCTGGCTTTTCTTCTCTCCGGGTTTTTCCTTGCTGCTGCTCTCCCTGCCCGGGGTTTGCTCTGCTCCACCACTCCCCTTCTGAGGGAGCTTTTGTTCCTCAACCTCGTCAGGCGGGCGAGGATTGAAGGGCAGGTTTGCAGAACAGGATCCCGCACAAAGGAATTCTTGTATGAGCTGGATACAGTTTGTATCCTTTGATGGATTAAAAAAAAAAAAAAATCCCCCAAAAAACCAACAGAACAAACCAACCAACCAAAGACTTTCACAGAATCACAGAACGGTTTGGGTTGGGAGGGCCTTAAAAATCATCTCGTTCCAACCCCCTGCCAGGGGATTCCTGGATTCTGTGGCTCTGGGTGCAGCCAGATGGGCAGGGAGCACAGGAATGGGATCCAGGAACAGCCCCTATGGATGGGCAGGGAGCACAGGAATGGGATCTGTGAACAGCCCTCCTGGATGGGCAGGGAGCACAGGAATGGGATCCAGGTACAACCCCTATGGATGGGCAGGGAGAACAGGAATGGGATCTGTGAACAGCCCCTGTGGATGGGCAGGGAGCACAGGAATGGGATCTGTGAACAGCCCTCCTGGATGGGCAGGGAGCACAGGAATGGGATCCAGGTACAGCCCCTGTGGATGGGCAGGGAGAACAGGAATGGGATCCAGGTACAACCCTTGGGGATGGAGAGTGAGCACAGGAATGGGATCTGTGAACAGCCCTCCTGGATGGGCAGGGAGCACAGGAATGGGATCTGTGAACAGCCCCTATGGATGGGCAGGGAGCACAGGAATGGGATCCAGGAACAGCCCCTATGGATGGGCAGGGAGCACAGGAATGGGATCCAGGAACAGCCCCTCTGGATGGACACTGAGCACAGGAATAGCTGCCCTGCACAAGGGCTGATCTCTGAGGGGGTTTCCATCCTGCAGCAGCACCACGTGTGCCTTCCAGGCTCCTCCATGGCCTTCTCCCAACGGCTGGAGCCTGCTGCCAAAGGGATTTATTTACTCCAGTGGCACAGCTCACCCGACCATCTCCCATGACAGGGATAAAACCCCCAGTTGTTCAGTGCTGAGGAACCATCACAGATCCCAAGCCCTGTGAGTCTGGGATGGACAAAGCCCCTGGAAGGTTGAACTCCGTGTCTGTGCCGGGACATCAATAACAGCTGAACTTTTCCCTCGCTAGGAAATGAATCCCTGTGGAGGCAACACCAAAAAGGAGCCTCAGACCCTCTAGGAGACACCTGAGGAGGAGCTGTTGGAGGAGAGACACAAACTAACTCCACGGGCCTGTAGTCCCTTACCCTTACTAACAAATGTCAACAACTAGGTAACTGTTGTTCTTCCCTCCCTCTGTTCTTTCCATCACTAGCTCAGAATTTGGGATTTAAGGTGCACAAACATTAGTTTTTTCCCTGCTCTGTGGGTCCTGTGTGTGTGAAAGGATGAGGAAAATTTAGCATCTCTTAGTGGAGCCCGGAAAATCTGAATTTCTTCTGAAAGCAGACTGGGTAAAACCAAGTAGGGAGGACGTGGAGAAGGGGCTGGGTGAGACCTTCTTGCCCTCATGAGGTTGAGCTCCTTTGCTCTGCTCAGGGGTTTGTGGCTCCACAACCCAGGCAGGGTTTGGTTCAGGGTTTGATTCAGGGTTTGGTTCAGGTTTGGTTCAGGTTTTGGTTCAGGTTTTGGTTCAGGTTTGGCTCAGGGTTTGGTTCAGGGTTTGGTTCAGGGCTTGGTTCAGGGTTTGGTTCAGGTTTGGCTCAGGGTTTGGTTCAGGATTTGGTTCAGGTTTGGTTCAGGATTTGGTTCAGGTTTTGGTTCAGGGTTTGATTCAGGTTTGGTTCAGGATTTGTTTCAGGGTTTGGTTCAGGATTTGGTCCAGGGTTTGGTTCAGAGTTTGGTTCAGGGCTTTCCCTGCAGCAGCTGCACGCTGGGGAGGGTGAAGTGTTTCCTTTGGTTCCTGCAGGGACTTGCTTTAATCCCGGGATGTGACCCCTGGCTGCAGGATGCGCTTCCCAAGCGTGAGTCAAGGGAGGAAGAGCTGTGCTGAGGGGAAGGGTTTTCTTTGTGCTCACGTCCCAAACACATCCTCCATCCACCCATCCATCCACCCACCCATCCATTCCCTGGAGCTCCAGCCTGGAGATATCCTGCAGCCAGAGAGATCCTGTTCCTGGGGGAGCACCGAGGTGATGAGTGGTGGTGAAAGAAAGCTTCAGGTCAGGGCTGGAAATGTTACAACCCCTAATCACAACCCTGCCCCAGGGGCTGTGCTGGGAAGGGCCACCAGCTGTGCCCTAAATATGAGATTGAGGAGGGGGCTATTTGTGCTTTTAACTCCCAATTCTCCCGTGCCTGTCCCTGGGTGAAGGTGGATATAAAACCCACTGACCCCAGGGCAGAGGATTGCTGGAACACCCAGGCTGTGGCCTCTGGGAGGGTCTCGGGTCTGCAGGGCAGGAGAAGCTCCAGAGGAAGGTACAAATCTGTATTTGGGGTAGCTCTGTTGCTGTGTCAAGGGTGTTTTCCCAGCCCAAGGTCAGTGGTGTGTCCTCACACTGCCTGGATGGGGGGGAGGAGGAGGAGGCAGAGACAGCCACGGGCTCTTCCCGTGCAGAACCATCCCCCAGCTTCTAAAACTGGGCTTCAGAGGAGTGCCAGGGATGTGGAGAGCACAGAGAAACCCAGAGGTCTTGGGAAAACAGCTCAGAGCTTGGGTCACGACTGCTGGAGTAAGAGGGGTCACTCGATGGCACCAGTGTGGGCAGTGGGGAGCTGCTGGTCCCTTCCCAGAGGGGCAGGGGTGGGCTGGGGGGGAGACACTCTGTCCTTGGCACCCCAGGGACACGGGGAAGGGGAACAGCAGGAGCTGTGCCCAGGAACACAGGGAGGGGGAAGAGAAGGAGTTGTGCCCAGGACACAGGGAGGGGGAACAGCAGGAGCTGTGCCCGGGACATGGGGAAGGGGAACAGCAGGAGCTGTGCCCAGGAACACAGGGAAGAGCAGGAGTTGTGCCCAGGACATGGGGAAGGGGAACAGCAGGAGCTGTGCCCAGGAACACAGGGAAGGGGAAGAGAAGGAGTTGTGCCCAGGACACAGGGAGGGGGAACAGCAGGAGCTGTGCCCGGGACATGGGGAAGGGGAACAGCAGGAGCTGTGCCCAGGAACACAGGGAAGAGCAGGAGTTGTGCCCAGGACATGGGGAAGGGGAACAGCAGGAGCTGTGCCCAGGAACACAGGGAAGGGGAAGAGAAGGAGTTGT